GCAAGGGTTTGCCTCCCAAAAGAAGTCTAGCTTGAGACCAAGAGAAGCGAGCTCGAGATAGAGCCGAAGATGGAGAAGAAAGATGGAAAGCTTGATCTGCTCCGAGCCCTGTTTTTTTTCCTAGATCTTTTCCTCATATCTAATGCAGCGAAAGCTCTGTTATTTGAAATTTGGTTCAAAAGGAATCAGATAATTTTTCATTATGGCAATGTCCTATAATTTTGATAAGGCCCACTTTAACTACGTGTGTAAGCTAGTGTGAGAGTAAAAGATTCTTATTTCAATGAACAATACCCCTTGTTTTCAATGAACTCCTCCCCTGCCAACCACCCACACTACAGCCACAGCCACTACAGATCTCTATATCTCAGAACATGTTTAGGGTTTAAGACCGCTCGATTACGTATTAATTGATTGGTTTGAGGTTATCAATAAAAGAAAAAAAAATTGTCTTTTCGTTTCTTTTTGTCCAAGTTTCTTCTCTTTTTGTCTAGCTAATTTCCTTTTCTCTTTGTGAGTTTCGATAATATTCCCACATTCATAGGTCCAAGATCCACATCTATGAATTGAAAGGTTCGAACGATCAACTCTGCACTCAGTTGTTAAAATCAATAGGTCTTTCAAATCATTCATTTGAAAAAAACTGAACCCTTCTAATTGGATGATCACGATACTTCCCAAAAATTGAAATTCATATCAATAGAAGAACAATATCACCATTTTTGTTCAATAAGATACCAAAGTGGATGATTGACTCATTCCATACGATCAATAATGCAGGAAATCCTTTGATTACACGGATTCCTGTTCGAATCACAAATCTGAGAATTATTTGAGGAAGGCGTACCTGATACAACCGGACAATCATTTGCCGCTACTTTCGAACAGAAAAGATAAAACTGCAACTAGAATCTCTGTAGGATTTTCAATTGGAAAAATGAATGGCCAGTGCACATATTCATCGGACGACAAAATTAGCTTCATAAAATCCCAAGCACAAAGTTGATCCATGTCAAAATTGGGCTGACTGCCCCTTGCCACATAGGAAGCAGGAGAATATATAGGCCATAGCTGATACAATGGCATAGTTTCTGACTCAGATCAGCAACAGGGTTGTTGTCTCCATTGAGGTGAGGCTCCAAAACACAGCAGTGCAAGTCGTTGAGGATTTGAAATTGTACACAACGTCTTGCAGCCCCCAACCATCACAGATTGATCATTTGAAGGATCAGACTCTAATGCAGCTGGCTGGAAAGGATGAAGAGCATAATTTATCCAAACAAAAGAACCTTATACTTCAGCCGCTTGAAATGATTCATCATGCTCTTCCAATTCTTTGGCTTTGGAACCAAGACTGCCCAGGTTCGAGCCCAAAATTCGATGATCAATAGTGTTCATCAGGGACGTCTGATCCATACTTGCATTCCTCTTGTAATTCCATACAAGCATTGAAATGTAATCCTGGGGTGAGACAAGACCCTGTTCCCTAATGCATCTACGGTGCTCCTCGAGTGTTCTAGGATCTTCAAGCATTATAAATTCAAGTAGAGCCTTTTCATGATCAGGTCTCCAATTATTTGGTAACGGGGTGTAATCGGTCTCAGGGACAAGAGACATCCGGGTGAACTTAAGGCCATCGATCGACTCAGCAAGGCCCATCCTCAGAAGATTGTGGTACTCGGGCGATTGCCCTTTTTTCTCTTTCAATGGGCGGCTGAGATTCCGAGCCCCAATCTTGTAAACTTTTGCTCGTGAACGGAGTTTGTATTTCGCAGCATAAAGCTTTGCAAGCGAACCTCTTAGGATGTAAGAGCAAAAGTTTACCACTTTCCTCCTATTGTCTGCATATCTATACCACTCAACAATGGTTAACAAAAACTTGTTCATTTGTGAATTTGTGTGAGCTTGTGTGGCATGAAACATTCTAAAACAAGGCTGTGGATCAGGATCCCTATCACCCTTTAGAAAGTTCAGCTTCCTGAATTGCTTAATGCATTGTTTCAAGCTTGCCGTGACCGAAAGGAGAGTACCAACACCTTTCTCGCTAATGATCTTACCACCAGTAGCAGTATACCGAAGTGTTGGATACACGACTCTTCGACAAAGCACGTGATCTAGAAACATGATACCCTTGGTAATGTGTTCAATGGGAAGGCACTCATTGTCAAGCTTGAGCATATACTTCTGATCACAAAACTCAATCAATTGCTTTCTTAACGTTGCTGCATCAGCCCTAGGTCCTCGAATACCAATCAGAATATGACCTCCATACCGAACATAGTCCATCTTCCGAGTCTTGTCGGGACCACTTGTTGGTACAAATTCTGGCCAAGATGTATTTCCTTGATCTGCTTCTCCTTCAGGGCTATTCCATATGACATCACTCTTAGATGGAGCATAGAAGTCCTTGATCCTTCCCTCCATCCAGTGGTCCAATTCATCTAAACATATATTGGCCAGAAGAGGGCTAAGTATCCCACAGTGTCCCCACGAAGGATTCTTCACCGCCTCCTCAGGAGCGAAACCAAAAAATGTCTCCAACCAATATGGATCAGGCTTCGGCTCGTCGTCAGCTAATACTCGCTTCTTCTGATACTTCCTTTTCTTCTTCTTCTTCTTTTCCCCTTCATCGATCTTGCTCGTTATAACCGGTGTAACCAAAGCAGCTTTAACTAAATCAATCACCTTTTTATCTCTTATATCTCTCATCAAAGCATTTATCACCATCCCTACCTTCATGCCATCTAAAATTGTACTTAAATCACCTTTCACATACCATAAATAACCAGCAAAATGCCTCCTAATTATGCGCAGCACTGTATGTGCATTCCTCCCAGGCCTAAATGCATACGACTTCGGCGAAAACCGAGCTTCATATATTGGTTCCAGAATCATAAACAGAACCTCTTGGACAATTTTATCTTGAAATGCAGCAGGCTGCGTTGTTGTCAAGATAGCCTTTATCTTCCTCTTCGACAACGATTCATAATCCGTCTTATCTTTTGGAGATTTTATGAAGAACTCCAATCTTGCTCCCCATTTGAACTTACTATCCAGAACTGCATTTCTAAGCGCCAGTAAATCTTCCAGTGCTGACCTTTGTATTGCATTTCGAGGCATGTAGGCGCCCATCTCATCCGCACAAACTTTCTGGTACGCCAAAACCCATAATTCAAACCTCCGAAGATACGTGGTCAAATTGGAAATGATCCTATCCGGTTCCCGAAAATTCTCAATCCACATCTGGGAACAAACAGAGACTCCATCTTCCTTCATCAAGGTGGACGGATCATCAGGATCAGGCGTACGACGGTGCGCCGGAACAAATGAAAACACCCTACACACTGAAAATCCATGGAAACTAGGGCTCAGAGGATTCAGCTTGGAGAACAGAAATCCATTGCTAGTTCCGACAACTCTGGAACTCAAAAAAATCCGACGGGCAAATATGGAAACGCCCCGATGCATCTAGTGTAGAACGCTACGCTCGATCTTTTATATCATATCTCGGGAAGAATTTCACGAATCATCAATCCAAGAACTCGTATGAATCGATAAAGCATGGAAATTAACACAAACCCTAACTGAAGCAGTTCAAAGAAAGTGATTGAAATGCAACAAAAGTTTATTCAAGCCTGCGCTAACCGTGTCAAACCCTGTGGCGGCGGCGGCGGCTTCGGCTGGAGAATGGTACCGTAGCGACGAAGAACCAAAATAACACGGCGAAGGAAAAACCCTTTTGCTTAAACCCTTCTGGTCGAAGTCGCCGTTTGTAATTTTGTATTTTGCAGCAATACCCTTCAACTCCGCTCTATTTATTATATTGCAATTTACAATTTTTCGTTTATTATTTATTATTTATAATTAATTGATTAATAATTATTGATAATTAAATTATTAATTTTTCCATACTTTGTGAACTTATAAATTAAAGTATGAAAAAAAAAAAAACCAAATCGGTTGTTTTTATAATGATATTAATTAAATTTTTAATTTTTATAACTTATTTATTATAATTTTTAATTGTTACATTACAGAAAAACATGCTTGGTCAATCTATGCAAATAATCATATAGTTTATCAATCAAAATCAAGGGATCTAATGGTCGATCACCCGAAACATATTGCGTGTAATCTAATTACTTATAATAATTTTCAGAAACCGCTTTTCACTGGCCATAAAAATAATTTTTTAGCTAAATATAAATAATAATAATAATAATAATAATACAAATATTCAAACCTGATATAAAATTATGTTATGTTTAATTTTTATTTTATTTAAATGTATTTATTATGAATTCCGAGTGAAGCATTAACTCGACTAATTAGGCTAAGAAAATTAGAGTCGTTACATCTCATGTGACAATTAGTAGCTGATTACCTGAAACAAACAGCGTGTAACCCTTACCACACTTATTACGTTCAAAAAAAAATTATAACATGCACATATGTGGTCCCAAAACATTTATTTATCATGATTAATAAACATCAAAATAAACAACAAACATTCATACAATAGCATACACATCCAACCATATTTCACCGAAAAAAACGGTTTTGTTTCAATAAGAAGGTCCCTTCCCATATATTGGCCTAAGTGTCATAGTCCTACATTTTTTACCACGCGGCGTTGTGATCTTCTTATTGAAACAAAACCGTTTTTTTCGCATTGAACCACTTATACACAATTGTTTCGTTGTGACACCGTGCACAAACAACTCGTCACCTGCTTAACCTAATGCAGAAGGATTATAGTTTCTGTCGATAGACGAGTTATAGAGAACCGACAGTAGAGACAAAAATGGTATGAAACTCATAACTCGAGCGAAAATGTCGGGTTTAAAAATTGAATGACTAAAATATTACGAAATTTACCTTTTATGGAACAAAAAAGTGTGTTGGCGAAGGACGAAAATGTAAATTTCGGCTTATTAGAAAAATCATGGAATAAAAAATTGGGAGTGAGAAGGACCCGACCCGACCCGTTTATTCACAATTGAGATCCTTAACGAGCAGTGGGAAACTGAAAGCAGAGTCCAGATCAAAGAAAGAAAGAAGGAACTGGGCCAAAAGGGAGAGTTTCCATTGCAGCTGACCTCGACCGAAATCTCCATCTCCATTCTGTAATTCTTCCTCTGTCGGAAAGGTAAACCAGAGATCTCTCCGGAAATGGCCCCCACGTCGGCTCTGGCGAAGTATAAGCTGGTCTTTCTCGGAGACCAGTCTGTTGGGAAAACCAGCATCATTACACGCTTCATGTACGACAAATTCGATAATACATATCAGGTAATTCCCTGCTGAATCCTTAATTGTTTAGATCCTTGTTTGTATCACACGTTGCGGCCGGATCGGTTCGGATACTGTTGATCAATGCCTGATCCTGTTGTTTCATCTTTAATTTTGATTCCTCTTGTTTCCATCTGCAGTTTTCTTTGATTATATGCGGTTTTCTTTTCTGTTGTGTCTCGTTGTGTCATTGAGGAGGCCGAGAATTCCGTGTTTATGGTTTCAGATCTTTTGGTTTTTTCTTCATAGGCGATCAGCATTTTCCTTCCACACTCTGTATTTATTTCAATATATTAGTCCTTAGTCGAGAGTTCAGTAATCAAGCAGTGTCTTAAGTCTATGATTCTGACCTTGCTGCTTCCGGGTGAATGATGTTCAGAATTTAGCGCTGTTGGCTGTCAACACCATTAGTCTTTAGTACTAGTTTATTGGGTACGTCTTACAGAATTGGATCGACATGAGGAGAAGGGTGGGTTTTCGTTGATGCCTTTCTTTCAGCTAATTTAAATCTAGACCATTATTCTGGAATCATGATCTGACTTCGTGCTAACTTTTGTGGACTGAAAAGCTTTTTGGTCTTTACTTCCCATATTTTAATTTGTTGGATTATTTGAAGAATAGTTGGCTGACTTCGTACAAAAAAAAACCACTGTTACATGTCCTCGCATGCCTAGCATTTTGTCCCTACCTCATGGAGTTGGGTGAGCATTGCCAATAATCGAACTGCTAACTTGATAGAGCAATTGTGTGTTCGTTCCATGTCGTGTACGTTAAAAATGCAATTGTGTGTTCGTTCCATGTCGTGTACGTTCCATGTCTGACACATTGACCAAGATTTATAAGCATTCTCATGTTCAATTTGGTAATTTTAATTACACCAAAATTTTACACAATATGATTCATGAAACCAGATATGTCTTCGGTTATTGTAACTGCATTGACAGCACGACATGATAAGTCCTGTATGGTTTTTGACTATTGGGACATTTTTGTCACTGCTTCTATGGGGAACAGGATATATAGAGGAAGCCGATTAGGAGTGATTTTTGTCACTGCTTCTATGGGGAACAGGATTGTGCTACTGATCAGTTTTCAAGTTGATAAGAACTAAGAAGATGCTAGATTCATCATGTTGTTGGGTTATCTCAGCAATAATTTTCTTAAATATTCTTTTGATGATGTTCTTTTCCATGCATCAATTGGAGGTTTTTACATTAAGCCTTTCGGGATTATGTTCTTTGTTTAGTCTTAACCAAGTGGAAATGTATCATAATTACATCTAGATCAAATGGGTGCATTATCTTCCATCTCTTGTATTTCCTTTTTGATAATGAATGGTAGATATATAGTTCTATCTCTCTCTCTTTCTTTTTTCTTCTTTTTTTATCTTTTGTTGGATACAAAGTTCTTTCTAAATTTCAGTTTCAAATTTATACCACACATTCACTTCTTGCAATATATAATTATGTGCCATTGTGCAGGCTACAATTGGCATTGATTTTCTCTCAAAAACCATGTATCTGGAAGATCGCACCGTTCGACTGCAGTTGTGGTAAGATAAATTACAAATTTATGGTTGTTCATATATAGATGACTGCTTCTATTGGTTTTACTTATTCACATTACTCTTCTAATTCAATCACATTTTTGTGTTGTACATAAATCATGTGATTTATTTATCCTTGAGAATTGAAGAACTTATGTGATTTATTTGCTTGAGTCCATGGTATAAATGATACATTTCAACAACGGAAACAAGCAAACAATCCAGTATAGCTATTCCTCCTAGATTTAAACTATTCTCCTTTGAAACTTGAAAATAAATTTAAAGGTGTAGTCCTTGGGGGAGGAAATCCAAAAAGTCTGCATTTGGAATTCCTTTTTGGAGGAAAATTCTAAAAAATGATTGAACTGGTTTGCTGCTCCAGTCTGTAGAGGTGGGGGTGCTCATTTGCAGCAATTAATGCTTTCATAGTATTCCCAATAAAGTTGTTAGAAATTTGAAGATATATATTAAAAAATTCTTTTGGGAGGATCAAATGGAAAGTGTTATTGGATGAAATGTGGCCTCTCACCTTCTGCAGAATCAATGTTAATATCGGAAAAAAACCAAGCATAAAATTAATTCTCTTCGTTAAATATGGTTGTGGAGGTTTCATAGGGAGGGAGCCCAAGTTTTTTATGGAATGGAATTAATGAAAGTAATATTTGCTTCTCTGAAAAGCTCACTAATTGTTTTTATTCTTCAGATAAAAGTTCTTGGTCTCACATCACGTCATTTATGTATATGGACAAGATTGAAAATATGAAATGTACAAAAATAGAGGAGCAAAGCCTCAACAACCCTGGCTAAGGAAGTTATGAAAAAAAAGTCTTTCAATTGGCACAAAGTTCAAAGCACATGTTAAAAGTAAAAGGTTTGTACAAATATGAATAGGGCAATGCCCCAAAAATAATTTGATCAATGAAACGAAAACAACCTTTAGAAGGAGTCTATTATTTCTTTCCAACCATGAATTCTAAATAAAAGCTCCAATAAAACTCATCTCCAACAAAAACTATTGTCAGAAATGGGTAGTCAGAACTACCGTGCTATCTTTCTGAACATGGCCAATTAGAGACCCTTATTTTTTCTTTAACTCCTAGGCCTGTTCATTTTGTGCCTGCCACTCGAGGATGAAAGGAGATACAGAAAAAGCTGCACGAAGTTAATAAGAAAACTGCAGAATAAAAAAACTTCAGACAACTAGAAGGAACTAATTAGTTTCTATAGATAATATCATCTAGAAACTAAGTAACAAGCAATGTTTAATGTATCTTTTCCATCTGTATATTTTCCATCAAATAAAAAAAAAAAAATGTTACAGGTGCGCTAATCAAATTTTTCCTTTGTTTTTGATAGACACATCTTATAAATTAACGTATCAATTTTGACTTCTTTTCACGTATATTTATGATACTTCTCATTCTATTTTCTTATAAATTAACGTATCAATTTTGACTTCTTTTCACGTATATTTATGATACTTCTCATTCTATTTAATTGGATTGACTAACTTTCATATTTGTCTTTTCCAGAAGAATGGGTTTTGCTGTACATTTATAAATTTTATGTTGCTTTGTTTCTCAGGGACACTGCTGGACAGGAAAGATTCAGAAGTCTAATTCCAAGCTATATCAGGGACTCATCTGTCGCTGTCATTGTTTTTGATGTTGCAAGTATGGAATCTGAAATTTTCTATTGAATGAGAATAATTAAGTAAACCAATTGAAAATGTGTATTCTTCGGTGTTGTGCTAAAATATCTTGTATACTCTTGGGGTGGATCTGGGATCTGATATCCAAAGCCTTTTTGGTCCTTAATCTCATATAGTTACTTGATTACGTGCTGTGGAGTTAATTCTGTGCCATGATGAGGTCAAGGGAATATTTTGAACTGTTTTTATCCTGTTGTTACTTAGGCCGGCAAACTTTCGTAAACACTTCAAAATGGATTGAGGAGGTGCGCACCGAGAGGGGCAGTGATGTCATTATAGTGCTTGTTGGGAACAAAACGGACCTTGTGGAGAAGAGGTAATAGTTAACCGTGGATTTTTATTTCGTTTGCATGTTCTATCTTTTTAGCTGTTTCAATTCTGAATAATATATGCAAACCTGAATTGGAGTTCTAAGAAAAATATTAATGATATTGAAGTGATATAGAGAGCTTGCAAATCTTTTTGGCTTTTTAGATACCCTAAGCATAGGCCAATTGGTTAAAACATTAAAGGTTCGTTCTAACAGTCAGATGTTCAAATCCTCATCTCCATATTGTTCAAACCAAACACTCCTTATGAGCCTATTCAGCAACCAATCTGTAATTAGTTATGTCGGAAGTAAGGGGATGTCTAGAACTTAAGGGTTTGTTCTTGCCTCCATATTGTTCAAATGGTCAGATGTTCAAAAAATAGTGTGTTGTTACCACTCATTGTGCTATCCGATTTATGAATATAGCTTTCAAAATAAATTGAGCTCTAAGTTTCATCTAGTTTGATCTTTCTCTAAAAAAACCATTTAGTTAATATTGAACTTGGACGACGATTAACGTTATTATAGTATATCAGTAGTCTGGGCAATATTAACGTTATAATAGTATATCAGTAGTCTGGGCAATATTAACGTTATAATAGTATATCAGTAGTCTGGGCAATATTGTTTTAAGGCATATCATTATCAGATAATCTTACGTTTTTATTATATGTAATGTGTGGAAAAAGAGTAGAACATGATGTTGTGATCTACCACTGTTCTTGCTCCTATATTTTCTAAGGGAAAAAGGTTTCAATTTAATATTGCGTTTTTTCACATTACTTAGAAGTTTTGTTTGGCATGTTGTTTCACCATTTTCCCATATGCTGCATTGGTAGGCAAGTCTCCGTAGAGGAAGGAGAAGCCAAAGCCCGTGAACTAAATGTCATGTTTATCGAAACAAGTGCTAAAGCTGGATTTAATATCAAGGTAAACCATTCATACTCTGATAGCCTGATACTTGTACTGTACCTCCAGATTGAATATATACCAATCATCTGCTATATACTCTAGGGAACTTGACGAAGATGTTTTAGGATTACTCCATTCTTTGACAAAAATTATGTTAAAATCTTCCTACTCGTTTATGGTATTCTAACGGCCATCCCTATAATTTGTGCAGGCACTGTTCCGAAAAATCGCTGCAGCTTTGCCGGGAATGGAAACTCTCTCATCAGCAAAACAAGAAGACATGGTTGATGTTAACCTGAAGTCCTCAGGCAGTGGTGCTGCACAATCCCAGCAGCAGTCGGGTGGATGTGCCTGCTAATGATGCCCGATACGAATTGTTGACGGAATCACTCTTTCAGGTACAAGATTGGTTATATCTATATGAATGCCTTGCTTGAGCAGAGACTAAATTCGTAAAATGAAATTGGTGGCAAGAGTAGACGATTGTTATTTTATGGAGTAATTTGATGTATTGGTGGAGTCATTATTTGGGTCTTGGGATTTGTAAAAAAAAAAAATAGAAGTTTTTGTGTCGGACTCGATTACAAAATGGAAATTTATCTAGAAATTCTGCAAATTTCACCTGTTCTTGCAATGGATTGTTGTGTTGGTTCATAATAAGATCTGGCCGGCAGGAAAAAGGTGAGTGGTTTTCGTTCTTTGAGCTTTTGGTGTATAAAAAAATTGAAAGAATTCAATTACAACGGGATCTTTTGTATGGTTTCTTATCACTTCCTATTCATAAAGATAGAATTCGTGTCCGAGTTTATTTTTATGAATGATTGATATTTATTTATTTTTATGAATGATTGATATTTATAATAAATAGGATTTTAAAGAAGAATTTAAATTACTCAACAAAGAATCTGTGCTCAGAAATTCATGCCCGTATTCATTTAGCTATGTAAAGTAGACGTGCTATAAATGATTTAGATTTTTTTTTTTTTATCAATTTACTAATGCTGAGCTGTCATGTCATTCACATTAAAAAAGGAAAAAAATTGACTCTTTTTTAATCATCCATAGCTAAAAAGAGTAACTTGAGGATGATTGAGTGGTTAATTTTTAGTTACTGCATAATTTATTAATAATAGATGATTGAGGGGTTAATTTTAGGATAATAAAATTATAAAAATAAATCCTAAATCACGTTATTTATTTTTATTTTTATTTTTTTTGGAAAAACCCCATTAGAAAAACAACTAACAAATAATAAAAAATAGATCCTAATTCAAGACTTAATACCCCACAATAAATGATACCCTATAGGGATACAAGCTTTGCACACAAAACCCTTTACTCTCCCATAACTATAACATAAATACACTCTTTCTAAAGACATACAATTCTATAAACACCAACAGACACATAAATCATATCACTCAAATACACACTATGTTCACACTTACACAAACTACACTCAAATGACACTCTAGTCAACACGTGATAGCTATACCTATCATCATACTCACAAAAGATACATCACCATTCTCACAAACACAAACATCTAACTATAACCAATCTATACCTACTCCTTAACCTTCTGACACCGATGGTTTTGATGTGTGATCATCGTTGACTGGACCCTCCTTTACGGTTAGGCACCCTCCACTGTGCGCACAAGCCGAAGGCGTAGTGGCAATTCCTTCGCTTACTGCAGAGATAAGGCTGCAGCGCGGCGTAGAGATACTGAGGTTTGACGTTAGACAGTTCATAAGCTCCCACCTAACTCCTTACTAAGATTGCTTTGTAAAACTCGGATGTGATGGTTGACGTCGTTGTTAACATATATCATCAGGGTCACAATCTTTCATGTAAGGCTCCATCCACTGAGTGCCAACGCCGAAGGCGTAGTGGCATTTCCTTCGGTTACTGCAGAGATAAGGCTGCAGGGTGAGTGAGGAAAAACTTATTAAGTCTTGCATCTTGAGCTTTTTGACCTTTTACTGTGAATAGGCTATTATCTGATACTCCTATCGCGGGTTGGTACGTATTCATTTCTGATGGATGGTTTTCGTTGTTGTTAACATAAATCAGGAATGATCAATCCGTAGGGCTCCATCCACTGAGTGCCAATGCCGAAGGCGTAGTGGCATTTCCTTCGGTTACTGCAGAGATAAGGCTGCAGGGTTAGTGAGGAAAAAACTTATTAAGTCTTGCATCTTGAGCTTTTTGACCTTTTACTGTGAATAGGCTACTACCTTACTCCTATCGCGGGTTGTTAAGTCTTCCCTTCGGATGTGATGGTTTTCGTAGTTGTTAACATAATATCCGAAGAAGAACAATTTGTAGGGCTCCATCCACTGAGTGCCAAGGCCGAAGGCGTAGTGGCATTTCCTTCGGTGACAGCTTTATTGCTGGGCGAGTGACGATAAGCTTATTAAGTCTTGCTTTCTCGTGTTTTTTGACCATATAAGAAGCTCAAAAGAAAGCTAAATACTCCTTATGTCTGACACTGCACGTACCCCACCTTGATATTATGGTTTTCTTCATTTTCCCATAATATCATTGGCCTCTCTGTTAAGGTTTTTGCTTACTTACTTTACAGAGATACGAACAGTTTAGTAGGGCACCATCCACTGTGCGCCAAGACAGAAGGCTTAGTGGCATTTCCTTCCGTAACTGCTTTATTGCAGGGCGAGTAAGGCTTCTCAAGGCACTATTATGTGGAAGAAAAACACACAATTGGACCCCGACTCTTCGATACTCAAACACAAAATATACGACTGCTGGACACATGTACAGTAGAATCGCTATTTTCGTGTAAGTTATCGAAAAGCTTATTAAGTCTTGCTTTCTCGTGTTTTTTGACGTTTTAGCCTCGAATAAGGTCGCCCTTACGACGACTCCTTACCTCTGAGTCTGTGATCCATCTCATCCGAGAATACAATGGATCATAGCAAGTAAGTCACAATCCACTGTGGGCCGTTTCCGCAACTTAGTGGTATTGCCAGCGGATGAAAGCTTCACACAACAGCTATTTGTTGGGTGAATCGCTAAGGTGAGTAGGGAAAAATAGCTTGTTTCCTTATTTGCTAGAACGTCACGTTCCCAGACCTTAACCGGTCAACAAACACTCGATATCAAGCTGCTGGAGCCTCGTATAATCGGGATATCACAAGCTCTATCCCCTTTGAAAAGGATCCTCTATTGCTATTGAGTGTTTTCATATCTGGTTTTTGTTCTGACCAATCCTATATTTTTGCAAGGGGGAATTTTTCGTCATAATGCTTATTACCCACAAAACTTATGGAAAGAAAGAGGGGGATTTTTTCGTCATAAAGCATATTACCCACAAAACTTATTGAAAGAAAGAGGCTACTGAAAGAGGTGATCTGTATAATTAACATTGCATATTACCCACTAAACCTCTTACCCAGAATCAGGAAAATCGACTCTGAATCCAAAGATAGAGACGCATCTGCTCTCGAATCACCTACAGATAGAAAAAGAAAGAGGCTTTCCCCATATTTGTTGTTGTGATTCGGTAAGGAAAGCCTCTTTCTTTTTCTTTCTGTAGGTGATTCGGGTTGCTACCATATGCATGATATAATCTAGGGAGATAGGGTTGCTACCATATGCATGATATAATCTCTTTATACAGAAATATTCATTAAAAATAATTCATAAAACATCGAACTTATATGTTTGCATAAGAGTCTTAAAATAAAACAACAAAAAATGTTCAATGTAAAATAAAATAAAACCAAACCAAAGACTGAAAAACTATGCCCTAGATTCACTTAAGATCTACAACTACCCTGATATAGGTTTTATGGTCTTTAACGCGATGCCGCCGTCAACCGGGGTGTCTTGCTTTTACCTGAAATATAAGAGTAGCAAGTGACCCCACTATTGAAATCTGGGAATGCAAATACTGCAACATGAATGAGACTATAATTTAGAACCGTATTCTCTTAGACGACTTTCCAGTCCTGGCAAATTGGATGCATATTTATTTCTCTACACACGATCCACACATGCAAATATGGGCTCACCAGGCAGGCTCGCACACCCCTTTAGCCTGCTGGTTGGGTTAGCATCTCTGGTGTTGTTGCTGGACACTCAGAAGGAATAGCGACTGTCATGACAGACATGATAATCATTTTTTTCATAACGTACACGTCCGTATTCATCATAAAGGGTAAGTATCTCGATGCACATGAACATACATTTACGTATGAGGTTCCAACATTTTCAATTGTAAATAAATCAGGCAAGAAAACCCGCATTCATTTCTCACCTATTATACACGGTAATATGCATACGGAAAATCATACAAAATTATTTCATTCATAGTGTAACTTTTAAAACATATCTTAGGAGTTGTGCATCATAAATCTCCTTATTTCAAAACATTTCATAGCATGTCTTGATATATCATGGTCCAACATAATCCTATCACAGTGTATTATGACATTTCATAGCATATCATAATTTATCGTGGATAACATGACATGTTTATATTCTAATCTCACTTGGTATATCTTCACATATCATATAACAAAACATATCATCAAAACATATCGAGCACATCACACATATGACACTATAGGTCTTGTGGACAGTGTCACCATACATAAAACAATTATTCTTCTAACCAATCCGATAGTAGATCCACTTACTTAATTGACCTTTGTCATCTAATTGCTAAATTGGCTCGACTTTGTCCCTCAAAGTTCATTTCAACTCATGCGGATGTGTTTCACCCTATTATAAATATTCACCCGTTCTTAACTTAATTTAACTTAAAAGAGAGAAAATGATATTATACTAACCTTAAATCCTTTGAATAGAGTCAAAATCAGCTCCAAGAGGGTAAAAAAGGTACGAAATTTCTAGACCCTAACAGTTTAAGCCCGGTCGCAATTGTAGGGCTCCCTGAAGTGAGCCAAGGGAGACACGAATCACACATGTGAAATGAGGCTAGAGACGCGCATGGGTTCCTGACCAAGTCGGGTCGTGTCACTCAGGCACACGGATCGCAAGTGATCGTGGGTCGTGGGTTGCGTTTACAGGCTGAGCGTGTCTGGTGGGCTGCAGGTGGGTACCACCCACTATTTCCAAAAGAGCGCCCACGTTGACCTCACTCAAGTTCATAAAATATTAATCTAAAAAAAAAGGAAAATTAGAAATTAAGCCCCTGTATTAAATCACGCATCTATCACAGTGAAAATTTAAATTCTAGAGGAAGATTTTTTACGAGTATTATAATTATTGAACTGGGCTCGGAGGGGTGCGCCAGGCCCATGCTGTAGTGCAAAGCAAGGGCGACGCTCGAAGGCCCAGATAGCAAGCTACCTTGGTGGGCCTTCTCCCAAAAGAAATTAATTTAATATCATGTGGGCCGATGGCCCACGTATCAGATATTAAACTGATAAGAACAGATACTACACTTGATCTTAGCCAAAAGGCCGAGAAAGGTATGAATTGTTCAGGCATTTCAGGCGTTTTTTATAGCAGCGTATGGGGCAGCCTTTCACGTCATTTCCGATGTGGGATAGCTAAATCTCTCCAATCAGAAGTGACCTTGCTTTGCGATGGAAATGTTACACCTCGTAGTACTAATTCTGGTCGCACATACAACCGCAAAAAAAATCCAAAAATATTTTAACTAAACTATAATTTTAATATTTAATATATATATATATTTTTTAATTCAGTTCATTCTAATTGATTTTTTAAAATTCACCTTTTTCAG